GTAGATGCATGTAAATGTACATGTAATTATCATAAGAAACATGTACATGTACATACATACCTGTGTTGCAAACAGGTGCAATGTTTAAGTTTGATGGTCTTTTCCTGTACAGAGCCCAAAACACTTCATTCAATTTATCAACAAGCTCAGCCCAAAGACCACAACCATCAGCCACTGAATCAGGGACTTCCCCGTCTTTTGGTTCGTCGTCACGGAAACATGTTCGGAAAATCTGAGTCAAAGGTGATGATATAAGTGCAAGGTTTTCAACATGTGATCGACAGATGGTGAGTAGGATTAATAGCAAGTGTTGATAGAGTTCTGGTTGGAACAATGACTGATTAGCCTGGTTTAATAACTGGTTTTTAATCAGTGACAACTGTAAATGATCCTACACAAGAAATAAAAAAAAAATTATTATAATGAAAATACATGTACATGTACATGCATATGCAACTTAAGCCCAGCCTTAGTACATGTACTTTGATGTACATGTGCATGTACATTGTACATGTATGTTGCAATCTTTTAGTGAATACATAGATGTAAATGACATTTCTAATTAATTTACATGTCACTTAATTGCTAAAATTAGACTAAAATTGATACAAAAATTAAAAATTTAAAACTTAAAGCACACACATATATATAGTTACATGTACATGTACAAGTAATGTAGTACATGTACAATGTAGGTACCTTGCAGAGAGGGTAAGAGGAGGTTGTCTTCACCACACAAGAGATGAGGTACCTAGCGTGATACTGAAGTATGGCGGGGGTGGAGAGGTTGAGAAGAGGCGTGGTCTGTTTGACGACATCAGCCACGCCCACAAGAGATGAAGACGAGTAAAGATAATGATTACCGAGTATAGAGAAAGCATTGCAGACCAACCTAATGCAGACCGACCTAATTATAGTATATCTCAGTATATTACATTATAGCATTGATTATACATAGAGCATATTTCAGTATACTCCAGTATATTATAGTATATTTCAGTATATTACATTATAGCACTGATTATACATAGCATATTTCAGTAAACTTCAGTATATTACATTATAGTATTGATTAAACATGTAGCACATTTTAGTATACTATAGTATATCTCAGTATATTACACTATACACTAGCATATTTCAGTATACTCCAATATAATATTTAGTATATTCTAGTATACTAACTTGTCAAATGGAAGTTTCTGTGTCTCCAATGGTTGGAGTAGTTCTCTGTCGGTTCTTTCGTCATCGGAGAGGACCCTCCCCCCGGGGGCCAGGGAGAGGCCGGGGGTAACGGGACGCTCAGGAAACCCAAATTCATCCTTCGTCTTCATGTAAATACGAACACAATCAACCATATTAATACCAGAGGAGTCCATACTGGGACCAACTGAGAGAGGAATAAATAAAATACAATAAATAAATAAAATAAAATAAATGAATAAAAATAAAAAATAAAAAAAATAAAAAAATAAATGATTAAATAAATAAATGATGAAAAAATAAACACATGAATGAATAAATTAAATAATAAATAAATAAATTAATAAATGAATGAATGAATAAATACATTGTAAATAAATTGCACTAACAAGTTATATTAAATTGCTTGTCAGACTGCAGACATTCGTCTCTTGATAAAGGAACATCAAACCAGCGAGCAATACCACCTGGAAAGGTTACCTAATAATAATAATAATAAATATAATTTAATTATTATCGTTGTTGCTTTATTAAATTACAGTTTGTTTCCTTCCATAGACATCAATGTATGATGGGGTCCTCTCTAACGACCGGCAGCCTAAGAGGATCCTAGCACCAACCATCACGTTAGTGTCTGACTGTAAGTTATTGACCTCAAGAGTAAAACCACCAGGCTATGGGAGGAGGAGGAGAAAAAAACATATAAATGTAAGAGAAGAATTTGGTTTCAGTAAGAGAGAAAAAGTCGGTTTTGCTGGTGCAAGCATACTTAAAGTATTATACACATGATTGTTAGCATATTTCAATTGTGTAATGAAGGAGAGAGAGAGAGAGAGAGAGAGAGAGGTACAGTAGATTTACAGTACATGTAGGTACACTTACTTTAGTGCTGGCTATGTAAAGTCCCCCAACATTGAGTCTGTGCTTAACTTGTTCCTTATTGTACACATGAAGAATATCAGTACCACCAAACTATAAACAAATAAAACAACAACAACAGAAAAATAAAAACAACCACAGAAAAATAAAAAAACAACAATAAAAAAATTTTAAAAACACGAAAATAATAATAATAATAAAATAAAAAATAGATGTACACAGTCACTACTGGTATACTAACTACAATAAACATGTGATACATGTGACAGTCACATGATACATGTACTAGTCACATGACCCACTACATAAAACATGTACGAGTCACGAGCCATTACATGTATACATGTACTAGTCACATGACCCAGAGTTGGTCAGTAAAGGTAAGTAATGATCAGTGGTTCGTTAATATCACACACTCATGACTCGTACACTCCCTATACTGAGCAACAAGCTGTCGGCAGAATGGGCGTGGCTGACCACACCCACCCACCAGGGAACGGACTTAAGGAAGTGTGTACATTAATACATAAATGCACATGTACATGTAAATCATACAAAAAATTTAAGGGCAGTAAACTTTGTTTATTTTCACAAATTTCATACAGTCTACATGTACCATTTTGTACTGTATTGAGTTGATTTTCACAAATTTTACACAAATGTACTTTGATGCTGTATGGTTACTGGTACATGCATAATAAATAAATAAATAAATAAATAATTACATGTACCTCTAGTTCAGCATTCTGCATTCGAGTGCAGTGCTCAAAGAAATCAACTGGTATCTTTGGAGGCTTTGATCTCTTCTTGATCTTGATTGATTTCTTAGAGAACTGTGTTAAATAAGCCAGAGGTGTTGAGGGGGTGTACTTCCTCTGGAGCCAGTGATTGACTGACTCATTATTATTGCAATACTGTATCCTCAGGCTACCATCCTCTGATATCAGTAATAATGACGTACGGGAAGACTAGAGGGAGAGAGACAGAGAGAGGGAGGGAGAGAGACAGAGACAAATAGAGAGAGACAGAGTGAGAGAGAGAGAGAGAATGATTAATATAACAACTGGAAAATTTTGGTTCATTTAGAACAATTTAATCAACATAGATCTACACGTACATGTACATGTACAAAAGAAATTACCATTTCATTTGAAGATGGCTGTACTACTAGAGCTGTCCCTTGTATTCTTGATTTGACTGAGAGAGGCTTCTGTTCTTGTATAAGGAGACAATCAGGTTTGACGAGTAAGAGAACAGGATTACTGGTACCGCCAGTGAGAGCTGATACCAGACCAGGGTGACCTCTCACCTCCTGCCACTCCAGTAATGGAGGAGTAGTGGTACTGGTCTTATCTGAATTAGTTATTGTATTACTATAGGAAAAGAGATGGAGACATACACGTACATGTACATACATGTATATTCTCAATAAAAGTTGTCTCAATTACAATCTTGGGGCTACATGCATGAAGGAAATATAAGCCTATAACACGTACATGTATATAAAGTATAAAAATAGGAGAATCTTAAAATACACATGTAAAAGCCTGGAATACAAATGTATGTGCTTTTATTGAGAAAATGATACATGTATATATACAATGTACACATATAAATGTAATGTGAATATAACAATGTAATATTACTGATATAACACTAATCAGTGATATTGTTAATAAATTGTTAATAGCTCTGATATTGCACCTTTAAATCGACCAAATATCAACTAATAATTCATGATACATGGAGATACCAATCAGTGCATTACTGATACTAACACTGATTTTAACACTGAGATATTAACACTGAATCACTGATACTGATTTCTCACCTCTTCAATGGTATTTCTACAATCAAGTTAGTTTTACTAAGAGTTCCATCCAATGTGGCCATAAATGACTTGCCTATATTTTATAAAAATTAAAAAAAAGATAAAATAATATTACCATTTCTATAACTAAAGAACAACATCTGCAACGACTGCGAGTAATAAATTGAGGCTCCACCCTCACAGACACGCCCATCAACATTCTATAAATAAACACAGGAATCACATGATAGTCACATGATACATGTACATGCACTATACATGTACCTGTATTGATGGATGATTAACTATAAAATCAACAGTGAAATAGACTGGGCCTTCTGATGCTGAACACTCTGAGCTGACTTGCTGATAAAATATTTGACCGTTTGACATCATAACCAACACACAAGTGGCCTATAATATACAAGAATTTACTAATAATAACCACTAATGATATACAAGGATGTAGACATACACTAAGATATACTGACCTCTTCTGTGACAACAAAGCAAGCGTCTCTTATCTTTTCGCTAAACACAATGAAGTAATATGAAGGGCTCAGAGAATCAACTGATAAATCATAAATCTTAATAAAAGTATCAGTGACAATGGCTAATGTAGACTCTGAACCAGGTAACCACATACACTAGAGAGAGAAAGAAAAAGAGGGAGAAAGAGAAGAGAGACAGAGAAAGAGGGAGAGGGAGGGAAAAAAGTGAGAGAAAGAGATAAGGAAGGAGGGAGAAAGAGGGAGGGAGAGAGAGACAGAGAAAGGTAGAGAGAGAAAGGAATAAGAGAAAGTGATAGGGAGAGACAGACAGAGATTAAGGAGAGGAAAGAAATAGAAAAAGAAAGTAGTAACACACATTATGAATACAGGATTAATATTACTTTGACAATATAGCCAGAAGCAGTGTCCACTGATGGATGCAGATTAATCCTACTGGTAACATAGCCTTGAGCATTGACTGACATCACTTGAACATCCTAATAACACACATAATAATAATAATAAGCATTAATTATTATTATAT